AAACTGACCATTTTAGAATTTTTTACTGATAATTTCGATACTGATCATTTCAACTATTATACCGATCATTTCCAATTTTTTTACTGATCATTTCAATTATTATACCGACCACTTAAATGGTAGCCATATTATACTCTAGTTACGTTTTCATTGCTTTGAATTTTGTTTTTTCATAATACTAGCAATCGGACATGTGACAGATATTAATCATTCTTTCTCGATATATAAAATGTGAATGGGTTCTTCAAAAATCATTTTTATTACATATAAAATATAGGTACTAACTGATGAATCCATGTTGTTCGTTAATCTTTCTTTGGAATAAATAAATGCAAACAGAATATATCATAGCTATGACAAGTGCGTGTGTGTGTGTATTTATTACTAGACTATTAGGGAATCTCTAAATCAACAACAATAATTACTTGTTAACGCATTGCATTTAAACATGATCAAGCAGAAGATAAATCTACTATTCATCCCTGTTGATTAGTTCCTAGAGCTCGATCTACATGTTTATTTTAAACTTTTGGCAGCTTAGCTTCCACAAAAAACTCCAAAAACAAATAAAAGAAACGAACAGCATATTCAACTTGGGGAGAAACGCCACGGTTTAGCATGCTGCCCGCCACAAGTGCCTTGTTGGGACACCAAGGTCTGTATGTACGAATGTCTGTTGTCCTACGGCCTGTTGGGTGCAAAGACGTAGCGCGGTACTTCTCAGATGCCTCGTGGCAAACGGCCAGTTGGGAACATTGAGGCACGGATCGAAGTTCCTGCTCCGAATAGTCAGTGTAGCATGTATTTGTTTCAAGTACTACAGATATAGTTGAGAGAATGAACTGAAACTGAGGAAAATGATGTAGATTATTACAAACTTAACAATTATCAGCTATATATATATAAGTGTGCGTAACTAGTCAGGCATGAACTTGATTTAATCGTCATTAAATCACAATTCATTCCTGTTGATTAGTTACTAGAGCTCGATCTACATGTTTATTTTAAATGTTTGGCGATATAACTTCACAAGAAACTCCAAAAACAAATAAAAGAAACAAACAGCACATTCAACTTGGGGAGAAAAGCCCAAGATGAAGCGCAGCATCATTATGCATCATTACCCCAAGATGAGTGAGTACTTATGTTTTAGTTTGTGAGCGCTACATGTGCGTCATGTTTGTCGAGCTTAAATCGATATAAGGCGTGAAGCAGATTGTGAGCCATCGTCCCAATGCTTGAATAATGTGATCCGGAACCCCAGTCGCTGCAGCCGTCGTTGCTGCGCCGCATTGAAAAGAGTGACCAGTGTAGAGATGGGAAGGGTAGGATTATGTTACTTTCGTCATTATGACGAACGCACTTTGGTCATACACGGCGAAAGTTCCTTGGGGAGAGGTAGTCCTCGGAAACTGCCGCCACCAAAGTGTGAATTTTCGTCAAACACGAAAAATTTCGTTGCATGAGGTGAATTTTCGTCACAGTAGTGGTAAACTTTGGTCATATTTAAAGCACGTTAAATGCAGTACTTCCTTAGCAAGTGGTTACAGAGTAAGTTCATAAGTCACAAAGAACACTAAATCTTTGTTCACTGTAAGTACTTCCTAGAAGTACTTTACAATTTATGTTTTTTCATAACCCCGGTTTTAATCATAGAATCCAATGGGATCATAAAAAGTGGGGTCAATTTATTTTATCTCTGAAACAATGCTAGATTGAGTCGCGAAGTCTCTCTTAAAGTGTAAGTAGTACTTAAAGAAGCAAATACTGCTCAGCAAAAACTGTACTAGTTCTACTCATGGCAGAAAGAAAGAGAGATAATCCTTCAAGTTTAGAAAAAGCAGTACCTAGTCAGGAAGTACTACGTCAGCAAGAACTTCATTGATTTTACTTGTTATCTCATGAGAAAGGCACATAATCCACTGTAAGTACTTGTTAAGGAAGTACTGCAGTGTAGTGAATAACAGGTGCAGCTCTTACTGAGTGAATGCTCCCGATCACATAATAATCTCACAGCACTTGATTCTATTCTGTATTTACAGCGGTATTTATGCGTGATGAAAGTTAAGCAGGAAGCGTTAACAAAAACAAGGGTATTTTCGTCACACTCAACGGAACTTTCTTCATTATGTTATAATCTGCCTTCCCCGGCAGCTCATAAGGTTCATTCTCTCTTCATTCTGCTCTTGTACCATTCTTCAACCAAAGGCTTCAACGAATGACTTTGTCTCGACCAAAAAAAATTTTCACTATGTAATGCACAATTCCAATGTTTTGGAAGGTCGATGCTCACAGTAATAAAAGTACTAGCTATGCCCCTAATCTGCAATAATTTTAGATCTGTTTGTCTTTTGTCCATCATGAGAAATCAAGGCTCTTTTTCATAAGTTTTCTGCACTTCCTTGCAAAAAAAAGCAACCGTTTACGTCAATAGCACAAACAGTTAAAGAATGCTCTAACAGTTTTGAACAGTTAACAAGATCTCTAGAAGTTTTGAACTTATGAAATTAAAGATTCACCGTTAGACATGCATTAGTGAAATTCTGATAACATAAATTTTTTGTTTTTTGTAATAAATCACATTCCCAATATTTCTGTCATGACACTGATTAATGACTCTATTAATTCTAGGACTCTGTTTAGCATGAGCTGAATATAATTGCAACAGCCGATGTTCTATCTTCTCCTCTACTTAACTAATAAGTACTACTTTGTTTATCTTCTAACATTATTTGAATAAGAAAATATTAAGTACTGGCAACAAAAAATTGTTATCTGAAAAAATACAACAAAGACTCATACTCAAATAACTTTGGCTGTTGCATTACAATATGCGCAAAATGACGTGACACAGCTAGCTTTCTGTAGAAACCGTGTTTCTTTTTCTTGAAAATTATCAAGATCAACTGGAAATGACATATGACAGCATTCTAATATGTGATGCGTTTGTCTTCTTTACTCTGGACGACAGACGATACATGCGTAGAGCCATCCGATTTGTTTTGACAAGAACTGTAGGTTCATAATAATAACGAAAACGACATTTTTGTAAATCATAAAATTGCTTCTTGAAGAGTGTTAATACAAGATTATTATGCCAAATAGTTAGTTAGCTTTTTCAATCGAACATAAGCTTTTTCATGATTCCAATTTCCAACCACATAACCGCATTTAATTAAATGGTTTACAGTTTCTACGAAGGTTACATTTAATAAATCATCCGAGTGACTACGATTATAAAATGGAGCATTTTGAAATTCAGGAATTCGGGATGGTGGTGGATCCGTTACCAAATAATTCTTATTATCATAAATCATTACATAAAACGGTATCAACAATTCCTCATTACTCTTATGTAAATCGATTGGCAATAAATGTTTGTCAATAATATCGTTTTCCAATTTTTTTATGTATTCATGTGGCAATGACCATTTACCAATGCGATAAAATTGTATTACAGACGAAAATATCTCTTGATCTTCATCTAGTATAAAATATTCACCGATTTTTGAATGAAATTTACCGTCGTTTTCGTTTGAAACCAATTTCACTAAATAACTATCAGGATATTCATTCAAATGATTAGTACTTAAATTAACCCTCATCCGCCCACCTGGGGTCCAGCTGGACCCCAACGAGTTTCAAATTAATGTTATATGCACATAATATTAGATCGAATCATGCCCTTCATGATATGCCTTAGTGAAG